ATATTCTCATTACATTGCTTCCTTGTTCTCACCTGGTGGATGATCTACTGGCTTCTCAAGTCGCTAGAAGAACGCCCACTGTCGGCTACAGCACGGCGACGAGCTAGCCGGCGCGGGAAACACCGCTACGTGGTGCATTCCCGGGGCCAGTCTTCTCAAGGGTGCTGGGTTGTTGGCCGGTGCTGGGCGGTGAGCGCCACGAGCACCAGCTCCACAAACACCACAAGCACAACGCCACAAGCTGTGGGAGTGGGAGGCCAATTGGCGCTGGCAATTCCACCGCTTTGCCGTTCGTGTTTACCCGCCGATGTCCAGATCGTCATCCGCGGGTGGCAAGAGTTGGCTGCTGCGAGGGACAGATACAATGGGTCAATTGGGCAACGACCGGCGCCCAAAGTGCGGCCGAGAACAGCAAAAGCGTCGCCAAAAACCACGGGAGTGGGAAGCCAATCGCCACCTTCCACCACTTTTGGCCCTTGTTGCCACATATAATATGTGGCAACAAGGGCCACAATAATTGTGGCAACCCGCTAACACCTAGATTCGCAACTGAAAGTCGCAAAAATCAATGCCCGCGAAGGCCAGATGCCAGTGGTCAGTTGGAGATCGCACCGCTCCCAGGGCACAAGAGAAATTGTTAACCACGTGGCCACAAAATAACGGGAGTGGGAGCCCGATTGTGGCCTCCCGCTCCCGACATTTTCGCCCCTCGCGGCCACCAATTCTGGTCGCTACGGATGCTAGATTGGCACGCATGGGTGGCAAATAGCTGGCGCCCTCAAGGGGCAAAAACAGAAAGCGGACGTCGGCAGCGCCGTCGCTGAGATCCGCCCCCTTTCCCTCTTTCGTGCTATGCATCCTCCTGCGAGCTCCCCTGAAAGGCGCGCTTCTGGCTGCAGGGCGTCAGGCAGAGCGATGGCCGTCACCGCTTCACGAGGGATCAATTTCAGAATGCAGAAACGAGAAAAGGCCCAAATAACACGTGTTCAAACGCGTGTAAGGTTTACGTGTTTTGGGTTACTTTCGTAAGCTCCGATCTGACTGATTGGCGGTTAGCGGTGGCGGCGGCGGCGGCGGCGCTGCTGGCTGGCGAAAGCGCATAAGCAGCGTTGTTAGTGGTGAAGAAGCATATAGTGGAATATCCCATCCATTTTGCTAGTGAGAACGCTGCAGTATATTTGAATATCTGGCCTGATAATTTCTGTTGCACAGCTAGGCAGCATTCGCTGTCGCTATGCACCGCCTCTGTGCAACCCGCCCCGACAACAGCATGCCACGCCTCCAAGTGAATTACAGGATTTTGTGTGCACAACTTGCATGATTGTATGGCTTTAAATGCTGTTACAAATATTGATTCTAGGTGACTGGATTAAATCTAGTCAGCAGGACCCATTTTTCAAGAACAAATTCAAGGACCGCTTGAGTAGCTTGCCTGACCACACGACATTGTGCCCCCGGGCTAATCAGAGGACAGCGTGTGCGCTGTGTGCGAGTCTGTCCGAGATTGTAAATATCATTAAATAATAAGGTATAAAACAACGAAAAACATGTAAATTCTGATTTATATCGAGCAACGCGCTGGGGAGGTGCCCACAGTCGCAGAAGTCAATGCACTGCCATGGCGGCAGCTTGGCTGCAACGGCGTTGCACTCAACATACCGATTATGCCATAAACGGCGACCATTTAATCCAATGTTGTACTTATATTCAGTAAACAGGACGGAGACAACAGTTCGAGCGAATTTTACCACAGGCATAGTGGTTTGCCATATCCCATGGGGGCCGGGGGTAGGCGGGGAATGGCTGTCTGCCGCTCAGAATGCTAGTCCGGGGCCTGTATACAGGTATCGATATAGATACGTATCGGGGTCTATTGTGATAGGGGAATACGATATTGTCGCGATAGTATCACCGAAGCTTGCACTGCCGCCAAAAGCAGTGGTGGAAACTCTCGGAAGAGGTTGCCCAGCGGACGATGCGGCTGGGGCAACTTTGGGCAATGCGCGTGGTGTGCTGTGTGCCTCCCAGCAAGGATAGCTTGTTCCAGCGTCGAATATTGCTCCGCTGAAGGTTTACCGGTGTTCCCTCCACGCTCTAGACTCTACATCTTCTGGAGTCTGGAGTTATTTCCTAGGAGAGCTCTTTCCTAGAGGGATTCTCTCCCAGAGTCGACTTTTCCCTCCTCCATACTTCTGCCTCTGAGGAGAGCCATGATGGCAGCAGCTCGTGTGTTCTTCAACGCTCGCCAATGGCGTCATGGTGGCTACTGTGGGTGTAGAGGCGCCGGTCAACAAGGGATCCCTTCCAGGATTTCCTTTGGTTTTGCTCAGTATCATGACACATGAGCAGGTTGGATGGTGACAGCTCCTCATGGTCAAAATTTAGTCAACAGGCTGCGGTCACGAAAGCGGACATTGCTCGCCTACGCTCACGATCCCAAAACAGTTTAACGTAAGTAAGAGTACAAAATAACAGATAGAAGCAACGCTAATGCTAGCGAATGTGGCAACATGGTAACAAAGTTTTACTATACTATAAGCACTTCTAACGACAGCGACGAAATCTGTAGCAATGACAATGATATCAGCACTCACATCAACAAAAAAACGCCCTAGATTGAAGCAAACCTGGCCAATTGCTGTAAACAAAAATTTTGACAGCACGGTTCAACATAGTGGAAGAGACGATTCATCAAAATTATGATATTGACGATAAAAAAACGTTGAAAGAGTGCACTAGTGCCTATTGTTGACTGTAGCAAGATTCTCACTGAATTTTGGTGAACTGGATTGGCATATACGGGAATATGGCCAATGCAACATTTTGGGGAATTGAACGCCTGCATGGAATGGAACAGAAGCATTTTCGAAAAGGCTGTGAACGTCGTGTTGTATGTTGGTGGCTAACATAGTAAAGATCCGTACCAACCCCAATTCAACGAAAAAATCCCAATATGGTGGCAATATGACCCCAATATGATTCATTGATTGGGTGGACCTTGCCAAGTTCTAGCGAGGATTCAAGATCGGGCACGATTTTTGAGACGGACGTAGTATAATGCTCCTGGCAAGTAACAGGCTACTAAGATCAGGAGATACTAAATAACGCGCCAAACTGTCATTTTATTGTGATCACATGATTCTATCCCTTCGCCCCGCTCGGCGAGACCTTGAGAACTTTGGACTTCTGGAATGTGGCCAGACAGCTTCACTGTATCACCAAATCTTCTGTCAGCATCTGTTATCTGCAAGGCTTAGAACAATCAACAGTTATTATGCCTCAATCAACAGTTGTTGTCTCCTGGTCGTATTTTTAAGAGATTTGACAATAGCATGAGATGAGAACATCCTTCGAAACCCAAACCGATATTCAATTTACGTTGTAGAAAATTTCGTAGTTGTATGTTTGACCTGTGTAACTGTGTGCCGGAGTTATTCAATAATTGTTCTGCAGTGGTGCCCCAGCACCATTTTCCTTCTGCAGGTTTTCAATGAGCGGGGCGCAAGGGATTGGAGCTGTTATCTCCACTTCTGTGCCTATAGAAAATGCACCTCGCCAGAGGCACATTTCATGGCTTCCCACCACAGCAATACATGTGACATTCATAGTTTGCGACATTTTGGTAAATCGTTTATGATTTCCACATTACCGTTGTTGATACCTGCGAAATTCGGCAGAATTGAATGCCGCTTGAGTGCCTGTTCGGCACTTCCAGCCGGCAGATCGACTCTCAAAATCCTCACGCGACTCCACCTGCGCCGACCTGTTTATCGGTGGCTAGGTTTGGGCTCCCAGGAGTCGGCCAAGATGCGTGATTTCACCAGCTTGTGAATATTCAGGAATACTGGATTGTACACGGCAATGGTGAAGTAGGTGAGCGGTGAAGGGTGAAGTAGATATCGGGAGCAGGTATCAGCGTTGATACCTCCGGCGAGATATCCCATAGCTCTGTTAAACCAGCTGGCCAGGGGCAAGGAAGAGGGAAGCCTAATCCTTTTAGTAGCATTTCACCCGACACCTGTTTGGGTGCATGGGTCAGCAGTCGATGCCCCCGCGTGTCACAGGAGGCGAAGGGAGTCTGTGATATTCGTGAGGCGCTGCAGCCATCACATTGATGATGGTGGCCCCGCCACCACCGTGCTCCACACAAACATTTCCAGACCGAATCATTATGGACATGGCAGGTACTCTCCAGCCCTTGGATTTTTGTCCATGTCATTCAAAGGCTGCCGCAAATTGCATCTTCAATCTGCGCATACACAGTCCGTGGCCCAAAATCATGTTTCCATATTGATTGAGTGTGCACTTTCGAATGCAGTGCAATAATGAGCACATGGCCTCGAAACTCTGCAAAGGACACACCTCCACCACCGGCGGATTCTAAAGGAGCGCACACACAACACACAAAGAGCAAAAACACTGTAAAGCAACATGACATAACACAGCTACAAGATGAAGGCAGGTGAGACCCGCTTGGGGCCACGGAACCCCATCGACACATTCTGCAGCCTCCAAGGGAGCTCAACAGTACTGGCCCCCTGCGACCGCTCGGGGCACCGCCACCGTTTGTGCTCAGCCCATGCCAGCCACCCAAAGAGCAGCCATCACCGCCATCAGCATCCTGATGTGTGTTTCGTGAAGTGTTTTCAAACCAGGTGCCCAGCCTCCACCATCTTCCCTTCCCAGCGCCCTTCCAGAAGGGTGCACTCCTGGCTGCAGCAATTCAAGCACAAGAGCGAGGCTCAACCGCTCAGCGCTCGTCATGAGTGCGATGCTTGCACGGCAGCTGTACACTGTACGGTGCAGCGCTGCCCCATGGGTGCATCAGCGCTCCGTGCTTCAAGAAGAATAGCCAACGGGCAACCCAAACAATGCAGAGAAGTGTGGATGCTGAGTGTCATGGAGCATGCGAATAGCTACTTTCTGTGAGAGCGTCAGTTCCGAAACATGGGTGTGGGAACGACTGGTGATGTAGGAGACAGGCCCTTTGCATCCCAACATTAGGAGAGCGAGTTTGTCACACGGTCGACAGTGTACAGCATGGCTGCGTTTTCTGGGCCACCCCTCATGAGGCAGGGTTTGAACCCCTTGTAGAATCTCTTGATGCCACCCTCAGCCCACAATTTCTGCATGGGAGCACAGAAAGCAGGCACTATGTTAGCGCAAGGGCTTTGCACACCAAAACTGGCAGAATATGACACAGATACTTCTGTCTGGCTTTTCGCATACAAATGGATGCAAAGTGTGAGCAGCTGCACAAGGCGAAAACTTGCAGACAGCCTAGGAAGAGGCACTCGCAGTAGGCTTCAGCACTTCATTGCAGATTTCACGGATGTGGACAAACGCAGTCAATGGAATTATACAACAGGTTTGTGACGCACCCTTGAGGCGTCATTCGTTGCCAATGGACACAGGTTAAACTGAGCACCTGGGCTGTCTGGAAAAGTTGATGCCAGAGTGCCATCAATGCAAGAGGCATGGCTTCACCGCTGGATCGAGCATGCATGGCCTGCTGGGTGTGTGTATATATTTGACATGCCGCATTGCAAGTTCTGCCCAGGCTGTGCAGCACAGCATGGCTATTACATTACCAAAAGCAACACAGGAAGAAGCACTGCAACCAAACAATTAAAATTGAAGCTCCAAACTGTTGACAGGGATTGTGTATAAACCTCTCAATGCAAATTTCATGCTGTCACTATTTTGCAGCTCCCCATTCATGCCGTGGTGCATCAAAACAGGTAACCAGACTTCCTGCTCAGCAAATTGCCTCAACAGCACCAAAACTTTTGTTCCTTTCTCTTCAGACATCACGATGCTGACTCCAGTCCCAAATATGAAAACTTGTGGACTCTATGATGGTGGTGGCATTTCTCCCCTGCAGTGAAACACCAACAGCAGGAGCAACTTGCTTTTGCTTAAACACATCCGTAACCATGAGGAGCATGGCAGCTCACCTGGACAGTGACTGCCATCGTTGGGCACTTCCTCTCTGAATAGATGATGCTGTCAGATGCCATTGCAGATCTCACGACATCCACCGGGAAAATTGTCACCCAGTACAGCAGTCCAGCAATGCCAGCTGCTGTCATGACAACATACGAGGGCAGCTGTGGGGCAGTGCAGTTGTACCTATTGGTTGCATCTTCCTTCAGCACCTCAAATGTGCCCAAAGCGATGGAGTTTGCCAGCATGTTTCGAATGATCGTGGGCCCAAGTGCCTGCAGTACAGCAACCCTGCTTGTTAGTCCAACAGCTCCCAGCACACAGTGGCAAGCAGTGCTGTCGCAGCCTGGATGAAACATACCAAAGCATCCTGCTCAAGATGTGGTACATAATGTGTGCCTTGCTTTAGTCTCATTAAATGACCTCCACACAGCCTTGCTCCGGCTTATCAGGCTGGCATGAACTCGAGGCACCAATGCTATTGAAATTGGTGTGATTTTGATGTCAGCATACAAGTCCAGGCAGACCATTTAACGAGGATGCCCTCTACACACAACCCATCAAGGCCCTCCCCTCAGCCCTTGTTTGAGTGAAGCTGAACATACAGAGAATCAATGTTGCAGCGGGGCGGGGTGGGGTGGGGGGTGGGGGGGCGCTGTAATGAACTTGGCACTGCATGGAGTAGCAGAAAGTTCTGCACAAACATGTACCAGAATGCACGATTGCATCTATTCCTGCAGTTTTCATTCCACTGGACATGCCAGCCCCCAAGAGGTCTGCGCCAACATGGGACAAGGTTCAAGTGTGCAGAGAGCAGCAAAGTTTAGGTTCATGTTTGATACCATTAAATCCACCTTCTCTACATCGGCAAGTATCAGCATATCAGCACCAATCATACATATAGATGATCAATGTCCATTACAACCTCAACAGAATTGGACTTCTTACCACAGCAAAATGCATCGAATTCCAATTTCTGCAATTGCACTTGGTCTACAGTACATTCTTCAGTTCATCTTTCTGGAAGTTCACATAATTCCTGTCTTGCTTGAGTGTACCTGGTAGGGTCCTCTGATTCCACTCTGCCTGATAGTTGCCTTTGTACAGTCAAACATGTTTGCATATGGAGCTGGAAACGGCACAATCGCAGTGTGAACAGAAAATAAGCTGAACTGAATTAAAATCACTCGTTTCCTATTGACCAATGTAAATCTAGCATTGTCTAAGATGTGTACAAACAATGACAAACAACTTGCGTGTTTGACTTGCCATCATTCCATATATTCTCCAACATATTGCACAAGCATGCCTGGCACATGGACTTTTGGTTGCCCCAATTCAACACAATCTGACCAACCTTCCACTCGCCCTCCAATTACAACTAAGGAAAGCACTTCACAATTGTCGCAGGTTGCACTCCAAAACTGTTAATCTGCAATGGGGAAAATTTGCAACTGAGCAAACAAGCTGCAGTCACACCCACAGGAGGATTCAGTGTGAATATCCAGTTCACCATCGTGGCACTCACATTTGTATGTCGGATCAGTTTTTATCCGGAAGAAATGAGCCTGCGTCTGCGACTTGTAGAAGTCGATGGGGCCCTCTATGAAGGCTGCGACAAAGCCTGTGATCAGGCCCGCCCTGTAGAAGTCCGAGGTCGTGAGCGTCCTCGTGGTGCCGTCGGGGTTGGTGGCCAGCCACCGCTTTGCTGATCCAAAAGCCCCAAACAATGACCCCCGGATCGCCATCTGGCTCACAAGTGGGGAAGCAACGCCCTGAATGCAGATCCAGACGCTCCCAGTCAGCAGTTGTCTCCTGCAACGGTAGACATTGGGGGGTGCACAAGCGGGCCAGCAGACAGGCACGCAAGGCAATCGGCGAGTTGGAGTTGGTTGGCCACAGTGAAATGGGCACAGGTTCGGCTCCATTTCCCGGGTCCGTGCTGCCCATGGCAGCCAACCCCGTCGGCAACTTCTACAGGCCCAAGCGGCCTGTGGCGATTGACAACGACTTCACTGTTGCGGGAAAAGGCCTCTGGAGGCCGGGTGCGGGATGCCTGGCGCCCCAATCGACAGTCGTGGCACCGCCGGGTAGCCGTCCTTGCTTCGGCAATCCTCCACAGGTGTCCAAACGAGCGCTAGACTCACCTTGTAAAGGCCGGGCACGCCCTCAGACTTGATCGCATTCTTGATGCAGTTCACCACGTAGCCTGTTCGAGGCGCACACCGGCGCTCAGCTAGTTGTCAAGGGGCAGCAGCCATGAAGCCGCGAACAGAGGGGGGCAGCGCAGGCGGCGCCAGCCGTTCAACGCCCGCTGGGGTCGAGTCAGCGCATTCCCACAGGCCCGCCCGCCGCGACGCGCGAAGGCACCGGAGAACGTCGACTGGAGCGTCCAGAGCAGGCGGGGCGCATTGCTCGACGGGCATTGGCGGACAAACTGCCGCGCCAGCGCACGGACCGCGCCGAGGAAGGTCAGCGGGCGGCGGAAGCAGCGCCGCCTCCGCGAAACGCCGCGAGGGGGCCTCGGCCGACCCCACTCGCACTCCGCCAATCCTGTGCACCCGCGCCCTCGCGGAGAGGGAATGATGACACAGCCAAGTGGCTGCTAACAAAAGCAAAAATGCGCGCCCAGTGGCGCCGGCAACACGCGTCGCGGGCCACCGACTGGACCGTCATGCCTGCCGTGCGCCGATCGACCCGCCGCTGCGATCGATCCACGGGGAAGGCGGCGCCTGGCTGCGGCGGCCCGAGCGGGTTGGCAGGGGGAGGGCGGAGGGGGCGAAGCGTGGGGATGCCTGGCGAGCGCAGGAAAAGTGCAAGCAAAGGGAGCGCGGGAGCTGGAGGGGCCCGACGCGGGGCGGAGATTCGGCACGACCGGCTTCGCAGGGTTGTAGCGTTTCTAGAATCAGCTGGGTGCGACTACAATGGGCGGACCCTGGGGCCCGGCCCCATTGGGGCTGAGCGTGGGGATGGTGGGAGAGGGACATTGGGGAGGAACACGCTCGAAGGTGTGCGGGTGGGGATGGGTGGGCGCGGGCGGTCCTGGATCTGGGGGATGGGCGGGGACCGTGCTGCCTGTGCTTCATCTGTGTTCGTCGGATTGACGGGGAATCGGCTGTTTTGTGGCACTCAGAGGGGCAGGACCGCCCTGCATCGCGCAGCAGAGGAAAGTAAGACGCAGGTGGTAAAGCTCCTCTTTAAGAGAGGCGCTGACGCGCCCATGAAAGGCAAGGTGTGTGCTTCCAAGCGTGCCAAAGTTGCATACTTGCTTGCTCCGTGGTGGCGTGGCTGGCACGGCAGTACAAGAACATGATCACACAATTACAAAGGGCTCACACTGAATGAAAACACAGGAAACCGTGTAGTCTGCACAGTTGTGGGAGGGTACACGGTTAAAACTGTGACAATGTGTGTACTAAATGTGTACTTTTGGGGCCATATTTGCCAAAAGTACACGGTTGGATTTTGAGCAAACCGTGTCAGGACTGTGTCATCTGGCCTGTTTTTTCCTGGGGCCTTGTTTATGTCTTTGTTGCAGGCGAGGATTTTATAGCATTGGGAAGATTGAAAATCGGCAGGAATCCGTGTGGGCGACACAGGCAACTTTTGCACAGGAGTGAAATGTCGCATGCTCAGTTAAATATGCACAAGTGGTTGCAAAAATCGTGGCGATTTGTATAACTTACGTCGCCACTTGTGCTGCCTGAAATCGAGTGTCACAGGAGGGAGATGCGGCTGCTGATGCGTCAAAGAAGAAGCGTCCCCTAGACGTTGCCGAAACGATCGACAGCTAGAGGAAGCCATAGCCCTGAAAGAGAATCTGGTTTGGAGACTATTTCTAATTGAATATTCGAAGCCCGGATGGAGAGCCTGTACGGATTTTGTGCAGTTGTTGGTGGAGAGGTCAGGTTCTATCATTGCAAATGCAGACTGCCACTCAAACTCATGATCTACTTGTCTCGTTTTTTTGAGTCGCTTCGTATCAGACCAGAAACTGATCAATACAAGAGAAGGTAGAAAACTTAAATGTTGGGAAATGGCGGGATGGAGAATGAGCATGGTGCTGAGCTGTTTTGATTGCCATTTTTCCATTTCGTGGAAAGGACACACCCTGGAAAGACCTTGCGGCGCGCTTTGTGCAGCGTAAATCCAGAGCACAGTTAGCACTGCTCTAATGGGCAGTTTGAGGCCTGGGACTGACGCAGCTATATTGAGAATCGGATGGAATGTCGGGGCGGCATGAGCATGGAAGGATGGAGTGACAACGCTTGGACATGACGCAAGGCAGGGGGAGCATTGAAACGGGCCCTAAAAGGCAAAAGCCACACAAACGCCTTAGCGCACACTGTCCAAGGCACGTAGGGATCTCAATATGCAAAGGGCACGCAAGATTGCACACATATAACTCCAAATGGACCGCAAAAGATTGAGCTGCAGAACACCCGTGAATTTCCGCTATAAGAAATACGCGCCGCACTTGGACTGAATAGTGCGGTTGGCCCATTTCAATGCCCTGAGTGGTCTGCCTTTGGCAATTATTGCCGCAATCGCCAACGAAGCAACGTGCTTTAGGCCGTTGCAGCGACTGCACAGGGAGCACCAGTACTTTTCAGAGCTACTAAAGGGCCGCATTCACCTATAGCACGTTTGGTTTTTACGCCGTAAAACTGATCGCATTTACGTTTTTACGCGCAAAAACAGTTTTTACGTTTTTACGCGTAAAAATGCGTAAAATACGTAAATACAACGTAAAAACTGCCCTATGTACATAAGGACAGTACATACACATTTCCGGAGTCCGGAAAATGGCAGCCAGACGCCCTGGAAGGGGCAGAAAACGAGTTTTTGTCAAACACCATCATCGCCCTTGCCAAGGGCGAGGTGGACACTGTGTTGCGGGTGCTGCATATGGCGGAGGACTGATCATTGTACGCAACTTTCATCGTGTAATCTGGGCGTCCCAGGGATCCGTAAAAACGTAACAATAGCCATAAAGCCAGGCCCTTTTGCAAAATTACGTTTTTACGCGTAAAAACGTAAAAGCAAAAAAGTAAACGTAAACGTAAAAACCAAGCCTGACCGATAGGAAGGATCCGTAGTCGCCTCTTCACATTTTCCAGCCATGTTGCCGCGTGGATTTCAAGCGCCGCTTCGAGCCTGTAATACACGACGTGGGCCCATGTTTGCATTCAGGTTTATGCTTGTACGTCCGTGATTGCATGTCTGCAAGCCCAATATTCACGTCCATGTTCACATGTGTTGGAAAAACCAAATTACATTCAGTCATCAGAATTCTTTGCCAGCTCGCCACTACCTTGGAGGCAATCCCTGCAAGGCGTCCATTTTGCCCTCGCCAGATGTCGGCACCGCCATGGAGGGGGCTGTGTCGCTACTCCGTCTCCACCTCCAGCCCCCCGGCTGGGATGGAGAGTCTTCAGGCTGCCGCTTCCCAAATCAGCCGAAGTGCAACCGTAGTTGAGATGGGCAATGGCCCAGGTCGTGCCCATGGGAAGACCTCATTGGAGTCATGCGCCATGCAAAAGGTGCTGTGGGGCGGCAAACGGGCGGTGTCTCGCGGTTTGGGAGAATGTGGTCTCAGAAAACCGGAGAGAGTGTTTTGTGGACTGTATTGTTGCTACCATTTCCTTTTCGTCTGCTATATTTTGTCTCGAACTTCACCTGGGAGACTTCTGAAAGGGAAGCGCAACAACACAGTTCATGGATGCCATTCACTGATCAGTTTGGTTTCATTTCTTTCAGCAATGGTGTCGCGACCGGTGTACCAGTGGCACTTGCTTCGCCGTACTATCTTTGTGTGCTTTGAATGTGTACAGGAACATATGAGCAGCTGAAACAAGTTGCAAGTGCTGCGTTTTAGCTCGCGTGGAAATTCAATTCAAGGAAATACAGATGATATTCGATTATTATTTGTATGTTTTGTAGCACTTCTCAACACAACACGGAATAGAAATAGAAATAGAAAGGGGAAAATGGGTATGGTAATAGAAAAGAACTATAAGCCGATATTGCACGAGAAAATATTTGCAATTGCAATGTGCAATTGCAGCATCAACGTTTAGCATTTTGCATTTCCGCAGTTTGGGAAGCTTGCGTCTCCTGCCAAAGGGTCTATTCTTCCATACATGCAAACCGACGTCCACCAAATCCTTTGTTCCTCACCCCCTCGAGCCACGACAGCTTGGTCCCCCACACGAGCAGAAACACATGGCGGCTGGACTCGGGGATCGCAGCAGAATTGTCGCCTTTGGTCGCGTCTGTGTCCACGCCGAAGTGCAGCCTCTGGACCGAAGCGGCGACCGACGGGCGCCAGTGGAGCGAACCCCGATCCACAAGCGATCTTCGCACACGCCTCGGGGTGCCGAGTGGCCTTGGCGCCTTGAAGGTTCCCCTTCTTGAATCGAGCCGGAGCGGCGGGCGTGGATTGGGGCGGCCAGCCACGGGCTCCGTCTTGCGAGGTTTCATGGGCCGGCCTGTGCTCCCTGTCAACGGTTGGTCAGCGCAAAGCTTAACGGTTAGTCCACGGTGTATCAACGGCTGGTCAACGCGGTCAACTCGCCTTGGGAAGCGATGCAAAGGTGCCCCCCGCGATCGACAGGACTGAAGGCGCCGAGGACGGGGGCGGCCTGTCACCGTCGTCGCCTGGGGCCAACGGGGCGACGGCGCAGGGCTTTTGCGGGGTGCAGTAGTTTGAATCATTGGGTCGTGTCCTCGGTGCGCTTGGCGTCTCGAGCGCGGCGGTGAACGGAGGTCGGGA